AAGGGAACTTGGGGAAATGAAGGGCTGAGCCTTACCTCCAGAGCACAGGATTCCCTACTGATGCTGATTAACTTGAAAATGGCTCCACAACTCAAATGTACCTCCATGTACCGCCACAAGAGGCACATTAAGAAGCCCGAGGTACACTGTCAGTTGTAAAAAGCCGCTTGTGTCTTCTCTTCACTGCTCCAAGGCGTAATTTCTGTGCACCGTAAAGCTCCGGGAGTCTGTTCTGGAAGGCAGCCGATGCAAGAGACCACGAGGTGAGCCCACGATGGCTCGGGAGCGCTCTGGAGGCCCAGACATTAAAAGCGCTGCTTGAGGACATCAGGAGTCTTGGGGAGCCAGTGATGGACGGCCTTGTCATTCACACTTATAACCTCCTACAGGCCTAGCTTAAAACATCACTGTCCCTGTAATGTATACACCATGGTGGAGACAAAGAACTGCTAGATGTCACTTCACAGGGACATCACCAGGACCAGGGCTGACAGCCTCAGTTAGTGACTTGGGCCATACAGCACAAAGCAAACTGTAGTGACCGCTGGCTCTTATTTCTCAAACTAAATAATAATAATAATAATAATAATAATAATAATAATAAAGCCTAGTGTGAAGGGGGCAGGAAAGGTAAGCACTCAGGCCAGATAGGGCTCCAGCTTGCATGAGTTCCTAAAGCAACAGTTTGACAACACTCTGAGCAGATGGCAGTTGCAGCGCTGGCGAGGACGGATGTGAGGTTGGCTTCCCAAATTCCAGGCGTTTTCCCAATCCTTTGTCACCCAGAGGCACACCTTTGCTGCTGGTCCTTCTGTCACCGCCGCCATCTCTGTTTTTGCTCCCCCGTCCTGAGGCCAGGCCACTTCTCTGGTTTGGGGACTGACCATACACAAAGTTCAGGCAGGATGCAAGTTTGGACTCCAGCACCCCAACTTTCCGCAGCAAGTCTCCCACAATGTTGAGAGCTGAAATCAGGGCAGCAGGCGTGAGAGGGGTCCCACTGGTGGAGCTGTCTGAACCACGCCTGGATGTTCCAGGGGTGTTTAATCCAGAGCTGAGTCCTCGATGAGTGATAGGAGCGGACGGTGCAGAATCCGTGGCCTGCACAGCTGTGTCTGTCCTTTCAGCATCCGCTGTGCTGGGCATGGGGGTCCTGGGCTACTCGTGCTTCTGTTGTATGCCCAATTCTTGTCGCAAATCTCTGGCTTCACCCTGTAATCGCTGAACAGACTCCAGGAGGTTTTCCTTCTTGTCAAGTTCACTTTCCAGGAAGGCATTTCCTTCAATGGCTTGATTCAAGCGCTGTTCGAAGTCTTCCAAAGACATGATCGTGGCTCGTTTGGCTCTTTCCAAGTCATCATTTGCTTGATCCAGCTCCCTGATATATTTCTGCAGTTGATCTTTAATTACTTTCGTCTGTGCCAGGTCATCTTCCAAAGCTGAGATCTGCCGGTAGCCTTCAGAATGTTGCATTTCGAATTTCTCCTTGATAGTTTCCAGCTCCACGCGAAGGCGGTTATTCTCTGACAAGAGCTCCCGGTTTTTGGTTTCAGTTTGTTGCAGCTGTGTCTCTAATTCAGCTTCATATTCTCGGCTTCCCTCCTGGAATTCTCGGAGTTCTTCCTGTGTATTCTCTGCCTCTGCTTGTAGGTCATCGCTAGATCTTCCCAGTAATTGACTTCTTCTTCGGAGCAGAAAGTCTTTCCTGAGTCCTCCATTGTGAAAGTGAGGAAGAATTCACTCCTTTTGTGGCATGATGTCCGGCAGGGCTGGAGAAGACGTGGTGACCGCGGCCGCGCGGGCCGTGCCACCCCAGCAACCCGGTCCCCGCCCCCTAGACTTGGAAATTTGTGACCTACTCATTTCTACATAGGACTTTCACTGCCAGCCCTTCAGTAGCCAGCTGGTCCTACATAGTGAGCTCAAGGCCTGTTTAAGCAACGTTGTTAACCTAACTGAAAAAAAAAATCCTGGAAATGCCTCATAATTGCCAAGAAGGTGGCACAAGTATATTAATCTCATCTCTTTTTTTGACACTGAGATTTAAAAATTGGGAAGATAAAACCAGCGCAGGGTCCACTGAAAATTCAAGGCCAGTATGAATTTCATAGAAATGTGTTCTCAAGTAAGTAAAAGAAAAACATGAAAGATTTATAGGATCTGTTGTAGCCTGGACTATAGTTCAGTGTTATAATGCCCGCCTGGCAATTGCAAGATCCTGACTTCAATTCCTGTTACAAAAACCAAAAACTTATTAATAAATACAAGAATAAATGAGTACATAAATTAAAAATGCTGTTGAAAACTTAAGTATTCAAACAAAGAACCAAATGAAAAACAAAATGGAGTAAAATATTGCTGCCTTTAAGACATATAGTGATTAAATTCCACCTAATTAGTAAGACAGATATCTCCTAATATGAAATATCATTTTTATTTTATTTTTGATATTTATACAATATTTAAATACCAAAGCCCAGTACATCAACCTTTCAGAAAAGTCTTGCAGTCTACTGGGAAAGCTCTCCACCCTCCTCAGTTGAGCACCTGGTGACGAACCCCTTAAGGAAATGGGTACAGCCAACCTAGATCTGGTGGGGAACACTCATGTACTAAGGTGAAGCATATGTTTCTCCACACTGTTACTCAAGGTACTATTGTATCTCTGAGAGGATGAAAAGATAGTAAGTTTTTGAAGATTTCTCATCTGACCCAGAAAAGGAGAAAATGATGCCATATTTTTCACACCCCAAAGACGGCACACTTTGACTTCCTGAACACAGTTCAGCTCCAGCATGTTGAGGACATCCAGGAAGGCATTAAAGGGCATCCCATAGATATTCATCCTTCTACAACACAGGCGAATCAAATGTCTTCTTGGCTGGGCCCACTCAAGAAGACAGGTTTGGAATTTGTCTAGAGTCCCTCTCACACAGAGGTCTAACATCACGTTCAGGAGCTGCGGTGGCCTGGTCACTAGAGGGTCCTCCAGGAAGTGGAATATACATGTGTAGTCTGGTGCAGAGGCATGGGCCATGGCCCTGGGCCTCACTCTCCAGAAGATGCTGTGCTCGTCCCTCAAATCCAGCACCTTCAGTTTCCTTGTGCTGTGGGGGACAAAAAAAGAAGATTCAGAATTGGAGCAGACTCAAACTTCCCACCTGTGTTCTCTTTTGCACTTCCTGAGCATCAGTTTCTCTACTAGTTCTTCTACTCCTTTATCCTACCATCTCTTACTTCAATGTCAACTTCCCGTGAGGGGGGTAGGTGTGAACTAACTCCTCCTGTGGTCTCTGCAACCAACACATGCAGCTTCCCTATCAGCAAGCTGCTCTCGGGTGGTGCTCAGGAAGGCTGAGGCCTCCGTGATCTTCTTCCTTTACACCATCAGAACCTGCTGCACTCAGTCCCCATTGTCCATGAGCCTGTCTTCTATGCCAAGCTCCCTGTCCCCTCCTTCAAGGCTACCTGGACATGCTTACCTGGGGCAAATCTTCTGGGTCAGCAGCATATCCAGCACATCCAGAACAAATTTAAGTGCCTGTACCTTTCTCTCCTCCATCTGGAATTTTTGCAGGTCAGGTTGTGGTTTCCACATTTCTAGCAGGGACCCCAAAGGGAGACAGGGGAGTGGCCAGGCCAGCATCATCTCTTTCAGTGCCTCATGGTGCTCCCCCATGAAGGCATCCATGAATAAATCCTTGAAGATCTGGGTGGGTAGACTCTGCAGAGCAATGCTGGATGTCATCCAATTCTTCAGCAGACTTTGCTTGGTCTGCTCATACAGAGGTGGTGGTGTGTGCGTGCTCATTCTGAGGAATCTGCAAGGAGAAGGACACTGGGTACCACGCAGGAAGAGACATCTGTTCAGACCAAGCTCAGGAACCCTCTGATGACCTGGGAGATTAATTCTGGACCAACCAGTGACTCTGGCCTTTCTATGATGAATCCTTATCACTCTATTTCCCAGTATCTCTGTCTTCAGTGATTGCAAAGCCATAGATCTGCCCATGGAGCAACAGTGTCCAGTGGTCCAATCTGCTGTGGGCCACTGATCCTCTGTACTTCAGTCCTTGCTGCAAGTGGGCACTGAGGACTCTGGATGCATATCTGCACCCAGTGTGCAACAAGGTTCTAGCCATTACTCCATGGCCCTGAGTTTGTAGCAAAGGAGATGTCACAGGGTTCAACGATCTTCCTTCTCCACCCAGATCATGAGCCTGACTGGGAGAGACTAGGAAGACTCTTAAAAGTGGGTACCAGGGCTTCCTGTGCAGGGGTGCTCGGGGTTCCTGCCGCCGCTGTGTCTGTCCCGGGATTAACAATCAAGATGGTTCATGCTGAAGCCTTTTCTCGGCCCTTAAGTCAGAATGAAGTTGTTGGCTTAATTTTCCATTTGACAATATTTGGTGCAGTGACATACTTTACTATCAAATGGGTGGTAGATGCAATTGATCCAACCAGAAAGCAGAAAGTAGAAGCTCAGAAACAGAACCGGGGATTGAACTCAGGACCTTGTGCTTGCCAGGCAAGCGCTTATTCTATTGAGCCATCTCCTGGCCCCAAAACTAACTTATGATGTAGATTATGGAAGTCATCAGCATATAGCAGTTACTTAGTGACAAACCATGACTTTTAGAGAAGTCCTTAGCAGTGACTGAGGCTGTTGAATATGTCTTCCTGAAAGATTTTGCCTTCAAAGTCAGACAAGGACAATGATAAGTGGAAAGAATATGAACAGAATCCTAGGGTAAGGATAACAAGACCTATTAAAGAATAGTAAATTGTTTACTCAGGTTAGAGAGGAGAGTTTTTACGTAATTGACTCTGTAGTAGAACCTGTATGAAAGTTAAGGACCTCATAATAAAAGATCCTGAATAAGTTAGGAAATACAGCTCTAATTTTTCCTCAGTATCATTTTTTACTAGGTAGACTTAAGTCTGATGCAGAATACTGCAGCATTTTTGAAGCAAATGAGAAATACACTTTTATTTCTAATGTGATCCAGTTTCATAGTAGCTTACTAGTGTTTAAAACATCCAGAATAATAAAAAAAAAAATTGTCCTAAAATTTTACTTGGCCAAGGATTATCAGTTCTCTGGATTCCCTTCCTCTTTTCCTTCCTACACCCCAGCCAACTCCTGGATATGCTGTTGACCAGTTAAAGAATTTTAAGTAGGCAGTGGCAAGCCATTAAATATGCTTGAGAAGTTGAGTAATACAGAAAACCACGTCAGGATAATTTACCTTACAGTAGTATGTAAGAGGTCAAGAGAGCCAAGAAGCAAGATATAGAATCTAATGGTCTGGCAGAAACTAGAAAAAGAGCAACAAAAGGAATGAAGTAATTACAGTTGACTCAAGAATAAATGCAGGATGGGGCTGGAGAGACAGCTCAGTGGTCTAAAGCACCTACTTGGAACAAGCTCGGCAAAGCACAGGGACCGCAGTTCAATCCCCCAGCACCACATGCCAGCCAGCCCTGCCCCCTGGTGGGCTGAGCTGGCCACACACACACACACACACACACACACACACACTAAATAAATAAATGTAAAAAAAAAAAGAATGAATGCAGGAATATAGGACGGACAATGTGGGAAAAGAAAAAGAACGTTACATAAATGAATCAAAGATTTATGTAGGTTCCTCAAAGATTCACAACATCTTTTATAATGATTAAATTGATATGGCAGGTTTACAGGATGATGTACATACTGAGTTTGTATTGTGGTTAGAACTCAGGGAGAAATGTTCATATAATAAAGTTATGGGTCTGAGTCTCATAAAAAAAAAAGTGGGTACCAGTATGTTTACTTTAGTTGTTTGTTTGTTTGTTTGTTTGTTTATTTGTGTCCTATTCTGGGATCGGTTTACTTTATGCATCACAACAAGCATTTATCAGAGCCATTATAGGTACATCATTTAGAGATGGGCAAACCAACTAATGCAGATTCTCATTCACCACTGTTCCCTGTGTGAGAATTGACCATTGTGAGGAGGAACGTAGGGTAGAATAATGCTAAATCCAGAAGCCCCAACTTTAAAGTATTGCACAGAGAACTGGTTCTGGTGTCTCACGCTTCATGCTATCTCAGTATGTTGGAGGCAGAGTCGAGAGGATCTCAAAATGAAGCCTACCCTGGGCATTTTATTAATGTAACAAGAGCCTCTCTCAAAAATTAAGAAGAGCTGACGGTCCTACCTCAGTGGACAGTTGGAGGTTTTAGTCTCAGTATGACAGAAAAAATAAAAATAAAGCTGATCTTGCCGACACACATCTGTAATCCCAGCACGTGGGCCAGGGCCATGCACGCAGTGCAAGTTCGAGGGCAGCCGGGGCTAGTAGTGGATTCAAAGCCAGCGTAAGTTAGAGAAAACTTGTCTCGAGTAACCAAAAGTAGAGGCCAGTGAGACAGTGCAGCGATCTAAAGTGCCTGCTTAGACAAGCTTACGCAGGTGCAAGGGGCCTTGGTTTGATTCCTGGGACCACATGCCTCCCCAGTCCTGCCCTCAGGTCAGGCTGAGCTGGCAAAACCAAAATACCCCAAAAGCAAACAAACAAACAAATAAAAGCAATAATATCTCATGCAATATCTCATGCAAAGTGTTGTACAGAACATTGTGCATGATATCTCTGTATGTGTTGCTGCGTTTTGAATCAAACCCAGGGTCTTTGCGCAGAGCAAAATCTCCATTCTTTCTTTATTTTTTGGAGACTTAATCTCCATAATTTGCTCATGTTGGGCAAGCACTTGCCAAATTCCCTCCTCCACCTTCTTAATAAGTGGCATCTCAGACATGGGCAGCCACTCCTGGCCAAAGCATTTTTAGGTTCA